CAGACAGCCAGGTTACTGCAGGCCGAAGTTTGCAATCAAGGCTTCCGCGAAGGATCTGGAGTACACCTGAGCTCGCTGCGTCAGAAACTTGCTTCCGGATACCCCTGCAAGCTGGACGTGCTGGCGCCTTGTCCGACTGCAAACCCCACCGTGGCCTGTGCATTTCAGGAGCGAGGCTTGTGGCGCACACCAGTACAGCACAGCAGTGGGTTTTCTCCACGCGGCGCCATACTGACACTGATCTGCTCGGATCAGCTGCACGTGTGGCGACAGCAGGAGTTTGCGAATGCCGGGTGTTTTCCAAAGCTTTGAAGTTAGTGGGTTCTCGAGGTAGCCCGGTATCTGGAGCTTCAAGCACTTTCTGATGACCTTCATTGCTCCGAAATACATATGATTAGCATCTTGCACTTTTTTCTGTTCCACGTCAGAAAGCCCTGAGAGACCAAAAATGTCTTGAGGAGATATGCCGCGAAGGGCCCTGGGAAGCTTTGAATGCTTTGGTGCCCGCCTCGCCGCACTCCAAGTATTGCAAGGAAGGTCAATGCCAACGGCCTGGAAGGAATGAATATGACTAAGGATTGTATTCCAGACATGCATCTTGGAAAGGTCGTTACTGGGCGAATCGAGAACATCGATCACGCATGCACTGCCGCCTCGCTCAGCGAAGAGACGTGCACCTTCAGCTAGGCCCCCGAAAAGGCTCAGGAAAGCTTTCCCTTGGAAACAGTCTGCATGCGCCGTCTGATATGCTTTGGGAGCTGGCATGTACCACCGAGGTACCAGCTCTCGAAGTTTTGTCTCACTTGCTCTCCAAAGGCACGGAGTCGCTCTCCATGCTTGTTCATCACCTGCTGTAAGCGGCCTGGCTTGTCGTAAATCCGAGCACTGCTGTCCGAGGCCCATCTGCCTCTGCGCTGTATGGCTTGGATGGAACGCAGCCTGAGCAAGTGATCCCTGCTGGCTCCTCCATGACGATTCTGGTATGGAGTGACGGCAAGATCCTCTACGTCCAGGATGCTCACCGCCTGTCTCCACAGCTCCAAGTACTCTCGGGCACTGAAGCTCCACATGTCCGCTTCCTCGCCGTCCGCCTTCTTCCGGCGTGTCACATGGTGCTGCATCGCCCTCTCGAGCCAAGGCGCCCTTGTGTCGTCCAAAATGAGCACCTCGTCGTAGATCCCGGCTTTGGATGACTCGCCCCTCTCTATGGGTGCCACCACCAGCACAGAATGGCTGAAGTCCTGGTTCCTCCGGACGAAATCCTCGGCTTTCATCTTTAGTAGCTCGCCTGGCCGTCCGTAAGTCGAGTAAGTGACTTCGTTGAAAAGTGCCGGCTCGGTGAGTCCTTTTGCCAGGAAAACTCCCGATATGGAGGACTTGATCATCTCGGGCATGGGGAGCCGGGTTTGAGTTGGCGCCATTCGTCGCCATCCCTTCAGAGCTTTGCGAAACCTTGGCAAAACCAGTCGCCCTTCCCGAGCAGCTTCGGGTCTCACAAACTCTAGCGCCGCCTGGAGCTTCTGCCCTGATGTACTGCTCTCTCCATCGAGGTACAGGCTGTCGGCGTAGTCGCACAAGGCCGCGTCTAGCTCCCGCTCTCGCTTTATGTCCAGTTGGTGGAACCGGACAAAGTCGTAGAACTTTTCGAGCCTCTGCAAGTAGTCTCTCCTTGTCGGCTCCTTCACACTGTTCAGCTCCAAAATGGATCTCTCTCCCAGCGTCGCCCGCAGCTTCTGTGCATACACTCGCTGCCTCCTCCTGGCCCTCTCTCTCTGGGTCCGATGCGATTTCAGGAGCTTTTTCAGCCCCGCATCGCGTGTAGGCCTCCACTCCGCCTTCACTGACGGTGATCGGCTGCGGGACTTTCGCTTCCTACTGAGTATCTCCTCTTGTCCAGGGCTCTTCATCCGCTGATTGGCTCTCTGCACCTCCGCCTTGCTGAGCACCGCTACGGTCCTTCGCCCCATGGTGGGGGCCGCTCTTGCCGCCGCGAGCGGGAAGAGTCCGCGAGTCATTCGGCTGGCCCAAATCTAGGAACGTAAGCAACCTGCACCCGTTTGCGGGGCCCAAATCTGGGGTCTCCCACCATCGGCTTGGCTTGTCAGCGACATTTCTCTCCGAAGGCACCCACCGTACATGTAAACGGATCCCAGTCACTAGGGTATGTGCAGCTATGCGTCGGATGATTCGAAGGACACCGTAATTGCTGCATCTACCCTTCTGAACAGCCAAAACAACTCCAAGATTGTCATTCAGCACTGTGATGCGTTTCCCATGACGACATGGATCTCGGGACCGATGCTTCACTGCACCAAGAATACTGCGCGCCTCCAGCACGTGTATTGCGTCCCTCATTTTCAATGGACTGGCCCAGAGGACATGCCATCTGTCTGATGACATCAACTCCTCTCTGATCTCTGGGAAACTGGGGTCCTCGCATAGATCCCCGAAGAGCTCCCCACTGATGTCGGGCCGGACCGTCAGGGGATCCTCAAAAACTAAGCTGGTGTCTAAAGCCGCTGCTCGAGGACGTGGGCGGTCAGGCGGGCCTCGATAAAACCTCCATCGCTCATCTTCCCGCCCAACCTCTGCGGCTTCGGCAGCAGACCAGTCACTCTCACAAACGCCGTAACCCGAGGGACATGCGTCAGTGCAAAGAGCTTGCCCATCCCAGGTGGCAAAGATGTCAGCCTGTCCGAGCGGCATCAAACACCTAAAAAGCTCCAGCTCATGCAGAACACTATCCCATAGGCGTCTCCGTTGATGGTAGTGGGTCTGCACGAAAACATAGCTATGTCGTAATATCCCCATCAGCCCCCTGTGAAGAAGTGCTCTTGAAGTCATATGACCAATGATCACCTCGAGCTCCTCTCCCGAAAGTGCCGGCGCGGCCTGACAAGCAAGGAGAGCTCGATCCAGCCGCCAATCTCGATGAGGAGTCGCTTGCACCTTGCCACAAAGTCCATCTACTCGGACTCCCAAACTCTCGACTATTTCACTGCTCTCAATAACGTCATGCGTGGCAAGACCATATGAGTGCAGTGCTTCACGAACGAGTGCTTGGTCGTGGTCCACCACGGCCCTGTGCGTTCCCAAATGATTGCAATTGTCCGCATAAATCAGCATAGTTGAAGGATGCCCGCCTGGTACTGACCCAAGAAGTGGAGGCGGCCTCCGATCCCGGACAACTGGTGTGCGTGTAAGTGTACGTCGGGCAATCTCCACATGCGCTTCATGTGCCAGATGGAACGCCCACGAAAAACCCATAGGTAGAACCCTGAGACAAGGATGAATCCGAGCACCTGACACATCCATCAACTGCATGAGCTCCTCGGGAAGGTCTCCACGCACCTCCCGCAGCAAGGCGGGCTCGATGCGGGAAGGTCTCCACGCACCTCCCGCAGCAAGGCGGGCTCGATGGCAGGTAACGAGAAGTACTCTCCCAAACGCTTGTCGATCCCTAAGCGATAGAAGTAGTCCTTTACGTCCTCCTGTGCCATGAAAAGAGGGGCGCCTCCTTCGACCTCCAGTCTCGTCCACGACTCAACGGAGCCCAGGCATGTTGAAGGTGGTGACCTGAACAAGCGATTCGCCCTACGGGCATCGATTATTAGCCTCTGTCGCTGCTGCTTCTTTGTCACGACGAACACTCCCACTTGTACTCGTGGTTGGTCGGTGAAATACAGAAGGTTGCAATCGATCAGGTCCGATATGAACTCATGATATTTGATGGGGTTGTGTGCGAGTGCTGGATCCACATAACAATCACTCTCCAAACCAACCTCGACGACGGCCCCTGCCTCCTCGGGACTAAGCAACATCTCCTCGTCAAAGTGCTGAAGACGATGCCGCTCCCGAGTAGGAAGTATGTCCGCCAAAGTGGCGGGATTCTGCTGTCCTCGAGGTAATGACAGCTTACTACGATCGTACGATGCTAACTGCCCCGGCAGGTCGCCGCTATAGGAAGTCCCTGCCTTCTTGCACAGCAGCTGCCTCAGCGCTGCCTGTGGACTTTCATTTGACTGCGGGGGCACACGCTCACGATGTGCACTCCGAACATGCTGCAACGCCTTAAGCTGCGACGAATTCAAAGGAGCCGATGGCCACGAAGATGGATCGGAAAAACCAGCCAAAGAATTGAGTGCCCAGATAGTGCCCCTCTCTCGCTCCACCAGCGTCCTCCGCCGATGAACCCTCTGTCGAGCACGCCTGGACCCTAAACAGCCCAACTCTCCGGCGTAGCCTTT